TGCAAATCTGCTTATGAATTATAAAAATTAGTAAGACCGCTAAAGCGCACATGAAATATTTAGGTCCGCAATTAGCAGATTTGTGCTTTAGTGGGCTGGTGCTCACCACTGAATGTAGATGATGTTACACTGCAAGTCAAAGTGAAAGTTCTTGACATAATTGAAGGGTTTATGTTGGTGGAATTTTCCTTTAAAGTTTTGGAAAACGAATTGTTCAACAGAGATCAAATGAACTGTTTAGTTTAAAAAAAGGTGTGTTTTCATGTCAAGTATAAACCCATCCTTGGTCTGACTGAGGCTTAGAAAGGTTTTGAGTTTCTGCTGTGGCAGCTCTGTGCACGTGTGCACACAGCAGCTCTGTGCACGTGTGCACACAGCAGCTCTGTGCACGTGTGCACACAGCAGCTCTTTACAGTGTGACTGACAGTCCTGAACTGAGGGAAATACTGTCTGTCTGATTGAGATATAGCGGTAGCACTGAAGAATGCCTGGCCTGCAGTCAGGGAAAAAAAGAGGCAGACGAGTCAGGCTAGGAGAGCAAAACAAGAAATGGGTCCAAAAGGAGGGAAAGGAACCTCCCTTCTCCTTACAAGCCCCAACAACAGCCACTCCCTGGCAGGGATGTGCTCTCCTCATACCAAATAGATCTATAAAACCTGCTCTTATAACCAGAATGCATAAGAAATCTACAGTAGTGTTCATTTACCACAAAGCAATACCTAGTTCCACTAAGTGAGTTAACAGCACATCTATGTTCCCCTTCTTGAGCTCATGTTGTTTCAAAGCCTTGGTAAAGCTGCCTGTACATGTGAAGGCATGCAGAGGAAGCTGCTGAGTAAAAACATAAAGTAATGTTTGTTTTTGTGTCGTGTCAGCTCTTTTCTCAGAGAAGGTGAGGAACATGTCACCTGATGAAATCAGGATCCCCCCTGAGCCTCCTGGACGCTGCTCCAGACAACTGCAGGTACCCTGGCATCACGCTGAACATATAACCACACAAGTGTGACATGAATCACAGCTTTAACACCACTGCACTGCTGCTGTTGTGTAGACTGAGTCACATTAATACGACGACAAAAACCACAGTTATGTCTGTTAATCAAGTCGGAGAAACGGGTGTGGCTGGCTGGGACTGTTTTATGAGGTTTATAGGCTTTTTGTGCCTTTAGGCTTGTTTATTTGCAGAATAAAAAGTATTTATCTAATTAAAGATTAGAACTTGTTACTTGGTYCTGAGGGAGCATGTTTTAGAGTTAGGAGTCTAAGATCAGGACTTTGTGTTTAAAGTGTTGGTGCTCACTTCAGCCTTACACAAACTGAATGATAACCTGTTCTGTACAGCACATGGATAGGTTAGTGTCTCGGGTCAGATATATAACTTTTCAGGCGATGCCCTTTAATTAGAGCAGCACACAGTATCATCCTGTCAGTGTTTTATTACCGTCACTGCTGCTCTTCAGTTTTCCACCATGGTTTTAGAGTTCTCTAAGGTTTTTCTTGTGAAGAGTTGAGGCAGGTCAGAACCCACAGCTGATGCTCAGCAGTACGCCTGAAGGCTGACACTCCCCATCTGACAGATGAACAACAGATGATTCACCTTCACCAGAACAGCCTTGACGTCCATGCCCTCAGGTCACCGTGGCAGAAGCCCATGTACCATCAGAAAATGGTTCTAGAAGGCTTTCACAATTTAAGTTTTAGCTACCTACTGCCAAGTTGCCTTCATCTTATCACCATTATGAAACCTATCCAGTTTGAGAAGGGTTTGTCTTGTACAGTCATGTCCTGAGCTTCAGATTAAAACATGCAGCTCACTGAACTCAGGCTGATTTTCTGCTCAGTGGACATTCTAACAACAGATTTCAGAGTCCAGCAAAAACCTGTGTGGAAGTCACATCTTTCTTTTAAAAAGTGATGCTGTTAACTGTAAACTTAATGTGGACGAGGTAGGTAGATGTTCAGTGTCCAGTCACTACAAAGAACCCAGTTTCCGCTGTGATCTTCTTTCTTGCTTAAAAAATGGAAAAGCAGAGGTGGAGGTTGACTTTTAGTAGCATAACATGGACTAAGCACCCGCTTCGGATGTTAACCATGAAATGGACGTTATTAGACGTTATCAGTCCCCTAGAATGGCTTCAGAATGTCCCGCCTGTTAGCAGGTTCCCCGTCCCATAGAATGGCTTCCAATTGTCAGCTGGTTAATATGAGGCATAAAACCACTATGTGGTTAAAATGAGACATAAAACCACTATCTGGTTAATATGAGACATAAAACTACTATCTGGTTAAAATGAGACATAAAACCACTATCTGGTTAATATGAGACATAAAACTACTATCTGGTTAAGATGAGACATTAAACCACTATCTGGTTAATATGAGACATAAAAAAACTGTTTAATATGAGACATAAAACCACTATCTGGTTAATATGGGACATAAAAAAACTGTTTAATATGCGACATAAAACCACTATCTGGTTAATATGAGACATTAAACCACTATCTGGTTAATATGAGGCATAAAACC